GCATGGATCCTCCGATCACTCGATCCAAGACACGCTCGAACCTGCACTTCGACAACAACTTAATGCCTTCGTATCCCGTGTCGTATCCGAACTCACGCTCGAACGTGTGTGCTCGTCCTCGGTCCAATCCGCCACGACCCGCTATATGCTCGTGTGCGAAGTTGAGGCACCTTCTAGGTCAAGCTAGCCTCAAAAGGAAGCTTCTTATGCAGCAAGCAACCTCCCCCAACAGCTAGAAACAGCCACCTACCACATTAAATGCTAGATTGTTGCATGAAGACTTGCTTTCAATGGAGGCACCTTCTAGGTCAAGCTAGCCTCAAAAGGAAGCTTCTTATGCAGCAAGCAACCTCCCCCAACAGCTAGAAACAGCCACCTACCACATTAAATGCTAGATTGTTGCATGAAGACTTGCTTTCAATGCTCTTGTTATTGTATTTTTATTTAAAGATGCTAAGTACTCTTTGTAAACCACTTTTGAACTTGTTTTTGAATCAAAGAAATCTTATTTTCTTCTCCTCCACTTTGTGTGTCGAGCTTCCTTGGTCTGTCCAAGCCCCAGTTTGTGTGTCGAGCTTCCTTGGTCTGTCCAAGCCCCGGTTTGTCCGGATTATCTCGGTTGGTCCGAGCAACGCCGGTTTGTCCGACGTTCTGCCTTGGTTCGTCCGAGGCCGGCCTTGAGGTTCGTCCTAGGCCTTCTATCCTTCGCCCTTAGCCCTTTTCCGCCACTGTTCGGATCAAGTTCGAGTGCCCCTTGCGGGTGAGTGATTGAACCTTACAGCCCCCCCCCTTTCATCCACTCCATTAACCGAGTTCGAGTGAGTTCGAGTGCCTTCCTAGGCGAGTGATCATTCGGCACTTACCCTCTCTTCCGCCAAGCATCTAACCTCGGCCCTAAGGCGTACATCATTTTGGTATCAGAGCTGTTCGCTCCAACGGACGCTCAAAACCCCGGGTGAGATCGTTCCTTCTCTATCACTTTCGTTGTTAATCGGTTTCATTCGAACCCTTCAACTTCCATCTGCGATCTCTGTACCAGATTGCTCAGCAACGTTTTGAACCAGCCTACCGTATGAACCCCGAGGAAACAAAAGAGCTCGAGAAGCAGGTTCGAGAGCTGATGGATAAGGGGTACATTAGGGAGAGTTTGAGTCCATGCGTTGTTCCGGTACTTCTAGTACCGAAGAAAGACGGGACTTGGCGGGTGTGCGTCGATTGTCGTGCGATAAACAACATCACGGTCAAATATCGCCATCCAATTCCCCGCCTTGATGATATGCTCGATGAGTTTAGTGCAGCCACGATCTTTTCAAAGATCGACTTAAAAACCGGCTATCATCAAGTTCGAGTGAAAGAAGGCGATGAATGGAAAACCGCCTTCAAAACAAAACAAGGGCTCTATGAGTGGCTTGTAATGCCTTTCGGGCTCACTAACGCCCCGAGTACCTTCATGAGGCTCATGAACCACATTTTGAGACCCTTCATAGGGAAGTTCGTGGTCGTATATTTTGACGACATCCTCGTGTACAGTCGAACCGAGGAAGACCACGTGACTCACTTGGAACGAGTCCTAACCACTTTGCGGAAAGAAAGCCTTTACGCCAATTTGAAGAAATGCTCGTTCTACACTAACGAGATCGTCTTCCTAGGATTCGTGGTTAGTTCTATTGGGCTTAGGGTCGATGAGGAAAAGATCAAAGCCATAACGGAATGGTCGACCCCTACCACTGTTGGACACGTGCGTAGTTTCCACGGCTTAGCTAGCTTTTACCGTCGCTTCGTGCGGGACTTTAGTAGCATAGCCGCTCCCCTTACTGCGGTCATCAAGAAGGACGTACCCTTCGAGTGGGGAGATACACAAGAGCGCGCCTTTGCTGCGCTCAAGGACAGCCTTACACATGCTCCCATCTTGGTTCTCCCGAACATTGACAAGACATTTCAGGTCGAGTGCGACGCATCCGGGATTGGCATAGGAGCCGTCCTTATGCAAGAAAAGAAACCCGTAGCTTTCTTTAGTGAAAAGCTAAGCGGGGCCGCGCTCAATTACCCGACCTATGACAAGGAGCTGTATGCACTTGTACGAGCTCTAGAGACTTGGCAACATTACTTGTTGGCCAAGGAATTCGTAGTGCATTCGGATCATGAGACGCTAAAGCATCTCAAGGGCCAAACCACTCTTAAGCGTCGGCCTCAAGGGTCAAACCACTCTTAAGCGTCGGCACGCTAAGTGGTTAGAGTTTATTGAGACATTCCCGTACATTATCAAGTACAAGAAAGGAAAGAAGAATGTCGTGGCCGATGCTTTGTCTCGCCGACACACATTGATCTCGGTCATGGAGACTGTTGGGTTTCCTGGGATCTCTAGAGCGAATCCTATTCCTAAGAGATCGATTCTAGGGTTTGCGCAGCGGATATAAAACAAAAATTTAATAAACCCTAGAACAATGTTTCTAATGAATCGTAGAAACGTTAGAACGCTTACCTCAATCGATCCGGGGCCTGTATCAATCGAAGAACACGTCTGATCACGAAAGGCAGGAA